GGCAAAAGAAACTTCTACGACACACTTGCAAGTAAAGCAGAACAGGCTGCTGGTAGGGGAGACCTGACAACATTATATCAAATGACCAGGTTACTATCTGGGAGGAGATCAACTCAGATGAAACCAATAGGAGAAAGTGAAGGAGACCTGGTTACCAACGGGGAGAAACAAACGAAACGATGGGCTGACCACTTCACCACCACCGCCTGCAACTTTTCCAGAAATACCACCAGCAGCCTACATACAGAACCATCAGTGGACATAAGCCCTTCGACAAAAATCAAAGTCCTGAATTCCACAAAGTCGATGAAATCCGAGAAGGCGGCAGGGCTGGATGGAATTCCATCAGAAGCTCTGAAAACAAAGAGACAACAGCGGACACGCTCATACCACTACTGCAGAGGGTTTGCAGGGAAGGAAGGAAAGGTACCTGCCAACTGATGGGAAGAAGGGCTATATTGCCAAACTTCCAAAGAAGGCGACCTAAGTCCTTGCAAGAACTGGTGAGGAATCAAGCTGCTGCCCGTTTCAAGCGAAGCATTAAACCTCATCATCCTTGAGAAAGTTAAAGATGTGCTGAATTCAAAATTACAACCGGAACAAGCTGGCTGGCTTCAGGAAAAACAAATCACATGTGAAACGAAACGCAACGTTACGCTACATATCATCACAGAACAGATTATAGAATGGTGGTCAAATCTCTACTCAACTTTATCGACTTCGAAAAGGCCTTAGATAGCGTCAACTGAGAAGTAATTTGGCGGTTGCTTCAACACTACGGTCTAACGGCCACAAACCCCCATCAACCTCATTCAACAGCTACATGCTATATAAGGGCGCTACATGCCAAATGATTCACAATTGAAAGCCTAGTGACGCCGCTAAAGTGAAAGTGAGAGTAGACAAAGCTGCCTACTATCACCAGTTACCTTCCTGATTGTGGCCAACTGGATCATGCGACAAACAGTGAGGAGTGAGAAGAGAGGCATACGCTGGACCAGTGAAAACAGCTTAGAAGATTTGGATTTCGCCGATCATTTGTGTCTAATGTTGCACATGGTTGAAGATCTACAGGCGAAAACTTACAAGTTGACAGAAGAGGCAGCGAAAACGGGACTTCAGGTGAATGTAGGGAAGATAGAGGTGACGAAGACGTCCAACCAACAACAACAACAAGCACCAATCACCATCAACTGGAGAAACCTAAAGAAAGCAGTCCCTTTCACCTATCTGGGACGTCGAAGCCGGGATCAAAAAAGCAAGACAGGCCTTCATCAGTCTAAAATCAGCTTGGAGATCCACTCCACTCAGCATAAAAAGTGAACAACGTCCGATTTTCAACACCAACCCATTCAAGTCAGTCAGTGCTACTATATGGCTCAGGAACTTGGCGCGTCATGAAAAGCATTTCCAACAAACTACAGACGTCCATCAACAGCTGCCCATACTGGATGCGAGGGATCAGGTGGCCAGAAAGAATAAGCAACAAGGAACCCTGGCCAGCTGGCAACCAACCAACCAAGAACCTATCGCTGAACAAATATGCAGTGGAAGGAAGCGGGGATGGGTTGGGCACGCACTAAGAAGACGATTCGAGGATATCACGCGCCAGGCCCTCGAGTGGAATCCAATGGGGAACCGAAGAGTCGGGCATCCCAGCTGAAGGTGACATAAGGGAGATGGTATGAGGAAGAAATGAAGACTTGTGGGCAGTCATGGCGCCAGGTTGAAAAGGCTGCAGAGAACACGGTGAAATGTTGACGTGCCACTGAAAGCCTATGTTCCACTAGGAACCCCAAAGACAAATAATAATAACAATGACAAACATCATGATGTCTTGTACTTTTGATTTCTTAATCTCTGCTGCCTTCTTGCGTGGTGAACTACCCGTACTACGTCGCCTCTATCCCAGTTCCAGTGCTAATAACTGCGCCTACTTCTCTCAAAAAATCGGCTCCCAGGATTGGCCATCGTAGTCGCGTGGTCACAATGGTTGAAAATCTAATTTTCCTGCTTCCTATCTGGGCGACACTGTCAGATAAGCTTGTGATTTCGAATGGGTGTCCCCCGACAGCGTAGACCGTTGGCGCACATGGTCTTGTGCTCTAAGACTGACTCTTATCTATTAGAGAGACTGCCGCCCCTGTTTCTGCGAGGCACACGATCTCTGGATGATTTATTCCCATTCTAGGGCACACCGCACCTCGATCTACGGCTCCTACAATATCTAGTTTGGTCGGAAAAACAGAACTCGTACTATATCGCTCAGAACGTCTTCTTTTTCTTCTTTCCGGGCAGTTTCTTCGCCAACGTCGCGGTTTTCCGTATGAAAAACGTTTACTCTATCTGCTGCCATTCATTCGAGGTGCAGCCACCTCCTCCTGAATGTTGTCGATTTGTTTTTTCTAGCTATTTAGCCCTGGCGACCCACTGCCCCTTACTCCTGTACCCATTAGCTGTCTGGTCACTGGCCATCTCACTAATGTCCAGTGGTTGGGCTGCGTCGACTCGTCGTAGCTGCTGAGCGATAGCATTCGGGACACTTTCGGCGAACTGTGCAGCCAGCAGCTGCTCTTGGGAGTCCTCATCCGGCGTGGGAAGTGCTCGTCGAAGAAGTTTGGTCAACGCATGCAACACAAGCGGGTCTTCGTCTGTTCTCATTTTCGTGCTCCGAAACTGCTGCATGGCTAGCTCCCTGTCCGATGGGCCATAAAATCCATCTCCAGGTGTTCAACCTTCCTCCGCAAGTCTCCTCCGCATCACCGCGTTCCACGCCGTCGTATGCTGCTTTCACTCTACCCTTCAACAACGTGCCAGGCGCCGAAACCTTCTCTCCCGGATCTTGGACACCCACCAGCTCTGCTCTTGACTCGAAGTCCCTGAGGGAGACCTTGATGTATCATTTCGTGAACACTGCAGGCCACGAAGTCTTCATCACGTCCAGAAGCGATGACTACGATTGAGGAAAACGACAAAACCGAGTCTTGCGGCACTGATGGAACATTGTACACTTTCCACTGAAATAGTCACCTGCAAAATGTGCTTCATTTCCTCCCCTGCTCCTCTCATGATTTGCTCTTCATGCACCTGCGTCGTGCCGTACATTCCTCTTGACAGAATCCCTACCCATTGCTGGTAATTTCGTATGATTTCTTCTACCCTCTCAATATATGCTACTTATATCCATTCTTATCGGCAGCGCCCACTACATCACTACCTTCTGCAGCCGCTGGAGTATAACCGAACAAAAAGGACCTAGCCTCAAGTCATGGAAGTGAGAGCTTAAAGACCATATACTTCCTGTTCTCGCACTGCTGGTGTTTGATAAACTGCCAAAACTAATTGTGGGAAAATCCCCGGGGTGTGACGACACTCGCCAATCTGTGTTGGAACAATGAGCGAATATCCTGAGTGACCCGTCCTGCAACCTTTTTCACTGCTCCGTAGGTGAAAAAAGGCTCGCACGGGGGAGGGAATGCGTCGCCTTCTTCCCTATTTTCGAAGGAGGAGACAGGCACAGCCCAAACCACTGCTAACTCATAGCACTTTTACCGGGTATATCAAAGGTTATGAAAGCGTCGGGGAATACCAGGACAAAAGCAGGCACTCAATAATAGTCAGAACGGCTTCTGGAAGATTATGTCCTGCGCCCCCAGCCTCCTAACAGCTCATGACCACTGGACAACATCCTGGGACCTCAAAGTCCCGGTTCATGCGATTTACCGGACTTCGCCATAGCCTGACACGGTCTCTCACACCACCCTTATACACAAAATAGTGAGGTCGGGTGCCCGTGGCTAGGTGATATTGTGGCTGCAGAACTACTTAGACGGTAGGGAGTTCTGCACGGAAGCCAACAAAGTTTATTCAACTTGGAGAATATCATCGCCCGGCGGATCACACGGAACAGTTCCAGGTCCGTTGTTGTTCTTACCGCTCTTCCTGCCATATATCAGCTCTCTCACTCTTTCATACTCCGGCGACATCAACTTATGGAGGGTAGTAACCTGCGAAACGGAATCTAGTTCACCACACCTGGGAACACAACTAACTGATACTTAAACTAGATGCATGCCAGTTTATGTTTTCCCCACTCCTAATCCACAGAAAGCGCCCTACTATCCCTGTGAGCCTCATCTTTCGCTTCCCCCCGCAAGGAAAAACTTGGGTTTAATGGTAACGGCGAAACTGGACGCCAGTTTTAGGTACCCAGGAGACGCCTTAAAAGCATACACTGTGCTAGACTTAGTGTTCAGACAATTAGGCACCCTCACCCAAGAGCTGTTTTTGAAGACGTAAAAGCTCTAAATTCGACCCCGCTTAGAGGTCCATAACGTTTTTGCTCCACTTCACCCGAAAAGAGGCACGAACATCCCGGAAAGGTTCAGAGGCTGACCGCAAAGGGTTTTATAGGAATCCACCAAGAACCATGCTAGGATGGACCGAAGGACCTAGGCCTATGTTCTCTTAGTTCCTGAGGAGTACAGGACGATCTGACAATAGTTTACGAAGTACTAATCAACCCAATTTCATCAAACACAGGGATACCGCAGACTGGCTACCATGATGATCTTCGTGGAAACCCAAAGAGAATTGCCCACCGAAGGTCAAAAACTCATAAGAGCTTTCACTTATCCTCCCTTCGAGTCTTCGGACACCGGAATGCACTACCAGCGGTGATAGTCTCCACCCCAACTGTCGATAGTTTCAAGAAAAAGCCGGACAATTACGGAGTGACCTACGGTTTACACTCATCTGGTTGGAATGCGAAATAGACCGAAGAAATCGATTGCTGCCACACCATTCTAACTCTGTTACCTCCACACCAGTTTTTTTCCTACTGTAACCATTTAGGCTCTTTTCGTCCCCCTCACTCGCTAAGAATTAGCCTCATCTACCTAAGTTTCATATATCTTTGCACCCCTCTTGTCTTACTTGGGTACACGGTCCAATTTTCTTTTTCTTTTACTCACGCAAATTTGTCTTCCTAGGTCATCTCTTCACTATCCGTAATTCTCTCTTACAACAGCTCGGGACAAACTGATTAACAACCAACCATCTGTCCTGTATACCACAGTCATAGCAGGTGAGTGGCCGGATCGACTGCATCGGAAACTGAAAAAGACCTGAGGACGTTCCGCGAGACCTAGAAGCGAGCACGAATAAACCGACTGGTCTAAAAACGCTCAGTAAACAGATTTTGAATTGGAAACCTCACACATTGACCTTGAAGAGGCTGCGAACTTGGATTGGAACTTGATGCCGCGAAGCAGTACTGTAGATGAGGTTATGGAGCTTCGCATTCCCTCTTATAGGACTAGGTTAATGATGAAAAGTTCTCCTGACGTAGATTGTGTCTCTTCAGATTCTGTTGTTTGTTTGTCCAAAGCGACCGTAAGTTAATTTGGTTTAATGTATTATCATCCATTTAGGAAATGTTTGTCAGTGAGCTAGTATCTACTGCTGTACGTGGTAATAAATCTGGATTATCATACAAGGATTTATCTCGACTTCAGTGTCAGATGGATCGCTACAATTTTCTGGCTGATGTCCTACCTCAAAAGATCACTGCCCGGGAGTGGATAGAAAAATATAAATCTGAATTCGATGCATCTTGTTCTTAACATTGTGGTTAAGCTGCACAAGAATTCTACCTAATTAATTTTCTGGGTCAAATTCGATTCTATACTGTGCTTTTCCAAATTCTAATGAGTTTTAAATATACACAACGTTTGTTGGGTGGTGGTGGAGAGGTTTAGCAGTAATTAGTTACGTTGCAGTTGAGTTGACATGTTACACAATTCTACTGAATTTTCTGGAGAAAGTAGTTGTTGATGTGTTGGATTTACAAGTTCACGAGGTGGCTTAATACGTAGTTCCAAGACCTCCCACATGTCTAGCTTTCGCGATACTTTGAAACCAATGAACTGCATCGCCGTTAGATCTGATTCCCACGGGATTTTATTTCATGCTTCATAATTGGATGCTAAGTTCATCCACGTTAGTAGATTGAAGCAAACGAAAAAAATCAGCATTGGTAGCGGATAATTCTGCCTATTGATTAATTGCGTTGACCGGGTATGCATACCGCTCTTCCGACTCAATAGTCGTCTGATTCTCTAATGCTGTATATTCAACGAACCAGTAGATAAGATTTAGATATCCACTTGGAAAGTAGTTGTGCATGTTTCCCGTTCAGGATTAAGTGGTTTCCAATGAATGTAATGGTTGTAGACTCCTACCTAGGTAGAGGTGTCTGATCGTAGACACCCATTTGAGCTCATGTGTACCACTTATACATGTTGTTTGCAACTGTTTGTGGGTTTTTCAAACACACTTAAAAAGTCATTTTTGTACATGGTGTGTTTTTGTGTTGTCTAAATCTCTAGTTAGCTAATACCATACCGAATAGTGAGTACTTTGAGTCTTCGTTTGATTTCTAATCTGATATCAAGACCAACTAGTGTAACTTGAGGCCACTTGTAGGTGAAGCGATCTGAAGAAATTCAAAGCTTAAGGTCATATAATGAAGAATTCAGTCTACTTTTTCTTTCGACGTGTTATTTTAGGGTTCGGTAGATTTAATGGTTTGAGAGATATGTGTTTATTGCATGGTCTAGGGCCTAGTTACTTTAGATAAAGTTGCCTCACCTTCAGAAGTTAAGGTGAGGGGAATTGGAAATAACAAGGGGAGATTTGTTGCAAACTTCAAGCATTGGATCTTTATTTGTACGGAATGGTTGATCACAACGCAAATATGTGTGACGTGCCTTTTCTTATTTACAGGTCGCTGTATTTGTTCATATCCGCCAGGATCTCAACATGAATACTGCTGATATATCAAATGAAACGGCTGCACTACGTAAATGTCAGTGTATTTCCAAAGCACAGAAACCCATACACCAATCTTGTAGGACTGAGTAGTAGACGGAATAAGATTACGTGACTGCACTCAGTGTTGTCAGAAGCGGGTTTCTTGGGCCATCGTTATTTCAAGGGAATGCTTTACCTGGATGAGTACTTTCCCGTACTTATGATGAATTGACAGACCTGTCTGTTTGCGTTTTCTACACTAATTTAATTTAGTGGGGTTGTCTTTCCACTACCTTGTCTATTAGACCCAAAGTCGAAATTCCTGAGTCTCGTTCGCTACTCCGACTAAGAGGCATTATACCCTTCAAATAATGAATGGTGATGTCACTAACTTTGCTCCTTGGGGATTCCTTTTTACATGGTAATGCATTTACATTCCTCAAACGTTCATCTATAATGACCGAGTTCTATTTTTCGTGACTACAGGCCAAAAATATAAGTTCCACCTGACAGACCATTATTTTTTTGTAGATCATGTCACAAAACGCAGACATCACGGATCCGGTCAGTCTGTTCCAAAACACTTTTATGTTTAGTTACCGTCTTATTGAAATTATTGAGACATAAACCTGCGGTATTGTAGTAAAATCTTAGCGATGCTATGCGTTTTCACAAGTTACAGTTGGATTAGTAAACAAGGTGGAGTAAGTCTTTGTCCCATTCCTTTTGTCTTGTAATTCCTCAACTTCGTAGGCAGTAATTGAATTGCCTTTGTGGTGCGCTGTTAGCTTTCTAACAGAATCTCCGACTTAACATAGAATGAAAAGACGGATTTTAGGAGCTCCTACGCGTTCGCCCAAAATCAACAGTATTCAGGAATTTACAAAAGCAATAGTATATTTAGCATTTAGTTGGACTTAACACACTTTACCTAAATTTAACTTTTTCTGAAGTTTATGAAACACAGACAGCAGAACAACGAGAAATGTAATCATCCCCTCAATTCTGGGAAATCAAGAAGGGCAGTAAGAGTAAAGAAAGTAAACCGTGAGTTTGTCTGAATAGGTTACAAACGAAATGCTTGGAAACAAAAGCCTAAGTACTTAATAATACTCGGAAGCGAAGTCGCTGTAGATTGTCAGCTGTTTTGTAGAAAGTCACATAGGAGGAGCCACGTGCAAATTTTGGATAAGGCATACGTATTTAGTATCCATCTTGCTACACTGTCAAAGTGGACTATGCGGATCTTGTTTCAGGGGAACTCCAACACCTCATAAGTGGACTTATTATTAATCCTATCGTAGCTCCATTAGTTAGTCTGACTAAACTGGTCAGGTCAACTGTGAATGCTAGACCACCAACGTGATGACGGAATGATCATGCTTCTTGTTCAGACTGGACTCTCACAGATGAACAGTTTCTTGATAGATGACGTTACAATCCATCCTTTATTTGTCAACAGTGGTTATGTGGTCAGTAGATTGCGATGTCTGTAAGGCTAAACTTATTTCTCATAGCGACTAGTGTTTCCGGAATCCCAAAGCTTCGGTTCTTCAGTGGGTATTGTTGCAAACAGAATAGAAGACAAATCAAATTTGGCAGTATGCAAACGCCTGTTAGAGATTTCTGCTGCATAAAGTCACGTGCTACTAGACGATCTTCCCAGTTTTTAAGCCCAAAGTGTTATGGGTCATCCACGGTAGTATGCAATCGCAACCTTAAACTCCTAGGATTGAAATGATGGCACCGCCTCGATGTGGAGTAAGTGGCAATGAATACGCCTTCAAACAGTCTAAGTAAACGACATGTCCCTGCACAAACACCTTAAAGGATGGCGAGTACCGATATCAATCTGAGCTCACTCCTGCATTTGAATCCAAATTAAAAATGCCTTTCGTTACGCATAATTGTCTTAGGAAATCAGGGCATGGAATCCTCAGCAGGTGGACTTTACTAGACTAAATGACAGAGACGCTGAAGCTATTGACGTTCTTGTGACCATTGCTTTTTAGTCTTCCTGTCACAAAACATGTATGACTTTTCAGCGATTTGGCCTACTGACTTAAGGTCATTTGGTTAACTTAGGGTATGCAGACGGCATTGTCCACTCGGATGAAGAGGCTGACCAAATGCAGGGTCTTCCGAATCCGTTGGGCAGGAATGTGAGTGTTTAACATGCATTTCTCTGGCATCTGTCAATGTATGACGATGCTCCAGGACTGGTCTGCAGCCCGTCCCAGTTTAATGTGAACAAGACATAGTCATCATGTTTCAACTTGTATTGTTCTAAGTTTCTTCCTACATGTCATGTAAATTGTCACTATACGGTTTTATGAGTGTGATTATTGTGTAAAGTCATTCAATTTTAAAACAGTGGTCAATTACATTGGCTGCAGACTATTCGATTAGTGGGGAGGTTAAGCAATGAATATAAGATTTCACCTGGTGAAGTATGCCTTTACGTCATTGGGATATGAATAATGTGTGAAACAACGATATACTGTAATCAATCAGCTATAAGTCACCATGCTTTATACATAGAACTGACTTCTGTTGGTCATTTCAGAAAGTAAGTACTCACAATGGTGTAGACATTAGCCTAACCGATATTTGGGATTTATCCCGGCAGTCTATTCATCTTTTTCTTTGTTATCTACCTACAGTCTAGTTTGCAGTATACGAGTCATATGGTTTATAGAAAGTGACCGTTCATTGATGAATATATAAAAGTCAATATAAAGGTGCTAGTGTCTACTTTTCAGTTTTGCACCGATTGATACAGATCTAGCTGAGAAACGTCTTTTCGGTGGGATATTCCGTGTTCTATATTGCGTTATCAAAGTTACTTAGGATTTCGTAAATGGCTATGAGAAAACTTTTTATCAAGATTGTTATTTTTGCAGTGATTTGGATTTTTTCAAAGTAGTTACAAATTACACGTTTCACTGTGACACATTCCTGATAGCTGAGTAGCTTTCCAACTTCTCAACTGGGGTGTCAACAGGGTTTTTGTTTGGAACTACACAATCAAGATGACAAGATGTGACCTCTGACACATTGACCGACAAAATCAATGCTGAACCTAGCACACGGGTACATGGGCTTAAGTGACCACACTTCTTAGTAGCACACAAAGAACAGGTGGGCAGAAAAGGAGTGATATCAGAATGGATAAAGTTATGAGAAAGAATAAACAGTTTGGAGATAACAGTTAATGCCAATATTCAAGCTTTAGAAGATGTCGCCACTGAGACTGATTTCTAGCCACGTCCTCAACCAATGATTCCTTTATTCTCGGGGACACCAACCAGACAGTCTATCTTTCCCCACACGACTCAGGTAAACAGCAAGAGACTTCGCCTGGGCACCATGAACCTCTCTTTCAGCTTACCCTAGAATGACATTGAGGTAGGCGGTTGCTCGGTATACTCAGTACATATCCAAGCTATCTCAGTCGATGAAAGTTAACAACCTAATCATTTAACTTGCCTGGTACCCTTCATTTGATTTCAACAATACTCACACAGTGATTCCACCAAATGCTAGCAATGCTACGAATCTTCGACACAATAGTATCTCATGAGCTAAGGAATTACACTGGTGAACAGTATGATTAGTTAGAAACCATTCACACTGACCTGCAAATTTTTCCAGCACGATTAGAGTAATCTAATTATAAGACGGACTTCCCACTCTTTTGGAGTCCAGCTTATTAGCTCTGTTCCCGGAGAAATTCATCCCACAGAGTCGAATTATTTACACTTTATAACGATTTGAATTTGTTCGAAATATTGTTTGTTTGTTAAGATAATGGAAGGTACTAGGTTGTTGCTGGTTGTTCTTATCAACATTTCTGGCTGATTTTCCAAATACCTAATGGTTACCTTCGTTTAGCTTTATTGATTGACGCAAAAATTCTAACTGTTAACTATGTT